TCCAACCCAACACCTTCCCCGACCTATCCACCCAACTCCCACCACCACCACCAACCCAATATCACCCAACACCTTCCCCCGACCTATCCACCCAACTCCCACCACCTCCCCCAACCCAATGTCACCCAACACCTTCCCCGACCTATCCACCCAACTCCCACCACCACCCCAACCCAATGTCACCCAACACCTTCCCCTGACCTATCCACCCAACTCCGACCACCAACCCAATATCACCCAACACCTTCCCCGACCTATCCACCCAACTCCCACCACCACCCCAACCCAATGTCACCCAACACCTTCCCCGACCTATCCACCCAACTCCCACCACCACCCCAACCCAATGTCACCCAACACCTTCCCCGACCTATCCACCCAACTCCCACCACCACCCCAACCCAATGTCACCCAACACCTTCCCCGACCTATCCACCCAACTCCCACCACCACCCCAACCCAATGTCACCCAACACCTTCCCCGACCTATCCACCCAACTCCCACCACCACCCCAACCCAATGTCACCCAACACCTTCCCCGACCTATCCACCCAACTCCCACCACCACCCCAACCCAATGTCACCCAACACCTTCCCCGACCTATCCACCCAACTCCCACCACCACCCCAACCCAATGTCACCCAACACCTTCCCCGACCTATCCACCCAACTCCCACCACCACCCCAACCCAATGTCACCCAACACCTTCCCCGACCTATCCACCCAACTCCCACCACCACCCCAACCCAATGTCACCCAACACCTTCCCCGACCTATCCACCCAACTCCCACCACCACCCCAACCCAATGTCACCCAACACCTTCCCCGACCTATCCACCCAACTCCCACCACCACCCCAACCCAATGTCACCCAACACCTTCCCCGACCTATCCACCCAACTCCCACCACCACCCCAACCCAATGTCACCCAACACCTTCCCCGACCTATCCACCCAACTCCCACCACCACCCCAACCCAATGTCACCCAACACCTTCCCCGACCTATCCACCCAACTCCCACCACCACCCCAACCCAATGTCACCCAACACCTTCCCCGACCTATCCACCCAACTCCCACCACCACCCCAACCCAATGTCACCCAACACCTTCCCCGACCTATCCACCCAACTCCCACCACCACCCCAACCCAATGTCACCCAACACCTTCCCCGACCTATCCACCCAACTCCCACCACCACCCCAACCCAATGTCACCCAACACCTTCCCCGACCTATCCACCCAACTCCCACCACCACCCCAACCCAATGTCACCCAACACCTTCCCCGACCTATCCACCCAACTCCCACCACCAACCCAATATCACCCAACACCTTCCCCCGACCTAACCCACAAAATCATTCCCTGACCCCCCCAACATTCTTAATCGGGACTCTCCCCAGTCAAACAGGGGTTTTGTGTGGGGTAATTACTGAGAAAAATATGCAAATTGCTCCCCTAAATATATGCAAATCAGACGTGGAACTCTAGTCTCCCTAAGTGGGACGCCAACTAGAAGATGGTTGATTCACCAAACCCCATAACATTACCCCGGCACCACCGGGGGGCGCTCAGTATACACTCTCTGCCGGCAAAGCCTATGGGGCTTGGGACTTCGCGGTGGTCAAAGTGCTGGAGAAGTTGTATCAATCTCAGGACCTACAAGACCAATACGGGTCCTCAGATTGATAAAAATCTGGGATGTAGGATGAGATACGCGGGTGGAGGGGTGGTGAGAAGATTGGGTGGGTTGGATTGGAGGATTGTTGGGCGGGATATAGGATGAGATAAGCGGGTGGAGGGGTGGTGAGAAGATTGGGTGGGTTGGAGTTGGATTGGAGGATTGTTGGGCGGGATGTAGGATGAGATACGCGGGTGGAGGGGCGGTGAGACGATTGGGTGGGTTGGATTGGAGGATTGTTGGGCTGGATGTAGGATGAGATACGCGGGTGGAGGGGAGGAAGGAGGAAACGCAGGCTATGATCACGGGAAGTTAAGTATGTAGTAAATACTTCAGGATCCATGTATAAAAGACTTAAAGCATGCTCGGGTTCTGAGGTGTCATGTTCAGAACACTACTGGCCACCACAGAGCCATGGAACGAGAAGGTGCCATAACCATGGTCGTGTTGACTTACCTTCTGAGGAAAATACTCAAAAGTCTCTTCCTTCACCACAAGCTCCTCTGCTGACTTCTCTCCAGAAAACCTCTAAGTCCATTGATGGTCTGGAATACCCCAACAACCATTGAGAGCAACCATCCGCCATATCTGTGAGGGGACAATATGTTCTCCACACGGTCTAAAGCCAGTTGTCCCCTGATTGGTCTGGGCAACCTTACAGATGTGAGTACACCACGTGTCCAACATTGCATGAAGCTTTCTAGACCTTGAGATCTCTCCCGTGAAGTTCTTTCCTCTTTTCTTCGGTCTTCCCTACTTTTCGGAGAGCCATGTAGATGTGATGGTCTGCTGTTCCCAAACCTTTGGCCATGCACCGTTGGCTGAGGCAGTAGGGTGTCCCCACTTCGATCATCTCATATGTATTGGTATTTAGAAGGTTCAGACCAAACGTGGACACGTTCCCGAAGCTAGAACTCGCAATGTAGCTGAAGGAATTGGGGCTGGTTCTCTGCTTGGGTAACAGTTGCAGACAATCTGGGGGTTACTCTCAAGTTGGAGGTTAGAGAAGTCTACCATTGGAAGCCCGACAATGCAACATCCTATCCCAGAACATTGAAGGAACATTGGATCCTACTGGTTAGAAGTCTATCTCTAAAACCCATAAGGCTCAATCCTTCCCAAGGTGTGCCTGGGCCCCCTCGTAACAATCAGTGGGACCTTATCACATCTCCTCCAAGGGACCATCTACATTGAAGGTATGATATGGGTGAGGCCTTCAGCCTCCAAGGACATCATTCTGCACACTGAGGGCCTCCAGTCTTTAAGTATCTGAGCAGCTCACCCGATGACCTCGAAAAGTAATGGCCGAGACCAGTATCGGTTATTTGAGTCAGCGAGTGTGACAACGTTGTCCCCTTTTCATACATCACGTGACTTTGTTGGTCCGGAGAAGCAGCTGACCAGCACCGAGTACTACTACCCAACATCCTGGCCCAATTGCTTGAATCTGCTTTCCCAGTGGAGTCCCATATGGTGCTTTCCAACGTTACGCTAAAGGTTCTGAAAGCCTTCAATAACGGAATGTCTCCACCCCACAGATCCAGTGTCTCCTCTTGGCTAAGCAGAATCGCGGAACCAGGAGGCAGAAAAACCTGCAGTGAGGGTATAAAAAAGACAGACATGGTGACCAAGTCATCCTGAAAGTATTTCGGAGAATTGGACATGAAGACGATGCCGGAGAAGTCATGATGGCCACTGATGACCCCAATCTGAGGAGGAAGCATTAATAACCGGCTCATGGACCAAAGACATGAGGATGAAAAGTACAAGACTGGTCTTCAGATGTATGTTGTACCCGGAACTAGGAGAACCTTTGGCCTTGAGTTTTGAGGACCTCATTTTTGGTGAATCTCCTCCTGATGAACCTGCCCAATGATGAAGGGCCTAGTGGTGAAGGAACCTTCTGTTTTAGGGAGGCATGCGCCCAATCCTAAAGACCATAGACGCCGGAACTAACACGTCTCTTCCATATTAGACTTTTACAGGCCTCACAAAGGTTCATCTTCTTGCAGTTATACAAACTGTACACGAGACCAAAGTCCGACCCGTAAAGGTTGCAGGTGTGTCCAGTGGCGGAGGTGGAGGAGGCTGGAGTATAGTCCAAAGGTGATGATCTCATTTAGGTGGAACATAATGGTTACAACGAGGCCGGCCGAAGAAAAAAAATGAATGGCGACCGCAGTTTCTATGATCTCCACCAGGCGGTCATCTCACTTATACCAAGACAGGAAGTCTCTTTGACACAGACAGGAAGTGATGTCACCTATAAATAAGAAGTTCCAGGTGAGTCGGGAGGGAGTAGAGAGGAGACATTGCTGGAACCGGCAGCAGAGGAGGTAATAAGAACCAACCTACAATCACAAACGTATGGGATACAACTCTCTGGCCAGGGATAGGAATGGGCGGTTGGACGTGCAGGTGCCATCTCACCACTCTCGGGGGCAGACACCGCTCCCAGCGTTGCTTGGCTGGTTTGAGAGTAGGGAGTAGTAACATTTGTTGTTACTACTGACCTCACAATGGGCTCCTGTCTGCCCACTCAGGTTTGAGATTGGCCTGGATCCAACCATAAATGAGTCTCGTCTGAAAATGTGTCAACATTGGAGTCATCCAAGCTGTACCCAAGCTGATGGTTAACCGAGTTGTACCAATGGTGATGGTCACCAGAGTTGTACCCAAGCTGATATCACCAGAGTTGTATCTAAGCATCTAAGCTGATGGTCACCAGAGTTGTACCCAAGCTGATGGTCACCAGAGTTGTATCTAAGCTGATGGTCACCAGAGTTGTACCCAAGCTGATGGTCACCAGAGTTGTATCTAAGCTGATGGTCACCAGAGTTGTACCCAAGCTGATGGTCACCAGAGTTGTATCTAAGCTGATGGTCACCAGAGTTGTACCCAAGCTGATGGTCACCAGAGTTGTATCTAAGCTGATGGTCACCAGAGTTGTACCCAAGCTGATGGTCACCAGAGTTGTATCTAAGCTGATGGTCACCAGAGTTGTACCCAAGCTGATGGTCACCAGAGTTGTATCTAAGCTGATGGTCACCAGAGTTGTACCCAAGCTGATGGTCACCAGAGTTGTATCTAAGCTGATGGTCACCAGAGTTGTACCCAAGCTGATGGTCACCAGAGTTGTATCTAAGCTGATGGTCACCAGAGTTGTACCCAAGCTGATGGTCACCAGAGTTGTATCTAAGCTGATGGTCACCAGACCCAATCTGATGGGTAACCGAGTTGTACCAATGGTGATGGTCACCAGAGTTGTACCCAAGCTGAAAGCTGATGGTCACCAGAGTTGTATCTAAGCTGATGGTCACCAGAGTTGTACCCAAGCTGATGGTCACCAGAGTTGTATCTAAGCTGATGGTCACCAGAGTTGTATCTAAGCTGATGGTCACCCGAGTTGTACCGAAGCTGATGGTCACCAGAGTTGTACCCAAGCTGATGGTCACCAGAATTGTATCTAAGCTGATGGTTAACCGAGTTGTACCCAAGCTCATGATCACCCGAGTTGTATCTAAGCCAAGTTTTACCCAAGCTGATGGTCACCTGAGCTGTACCTGAGCTCATGGCTAGCCAAGTTGTAATTAAGCTGATGGTCACCAGAGTTGTACCGAAGCTGATGGTCACCAGAGTTGTACCGAAGCTGATGGTCACCAGAGTTGTACCCCGAGATGACCGTCTCCTGTGTTTTACCTGAAACATCCATTGGCCAAGTTACATTTTGACAGACGGGGAGATGGTTGCATGTTTCGGGAAGCCCCATCAAAGTGCCATCAGTGGGAACATTAATCATAGAGGTGAGAAGAGGTTTTCCATCATCACTATAATGCACGACGGAGCCCGCGGGTTTCCTTTACACAACCACATAGAAGACTCTTACCTTTCCATGATCCCAATAACCTCTCGCATGCAATGACCACGCCATCAGTATCAGGACATTGACAGAACCTTCATAAGGGACCTACAAGAGGACACTTGTACACGTCGTTATCATGCGAGAATATAAAATGTCATTAGATGTTCACTCACAATGACGAGCAAGACACACAACATACATCCCCATCCACGGGAAACTCCATTTATCATCCCATACAGATCACATGACCACCTCGAAGACGATGGACAAAGACCAGAGGCCCATGACGGAGAGGATACTGGACCTCACCCTGGAGATCATCTACCTGCTGACCGGAGAGGTGAGGAGGATTCTGGGAGGTCACATGACCTGACCGGAGAGGTGAGGAGGATTCTGGGATTCTAACATGATGTTCCTATTGGTTTCTCACATGGGTCTGAAGGACACCGGGATCTCTACAAGGACATTATGATGGAGCCACCAGAGAGATGTCCCCGCCCCCTGTATTCCCGGGACTCCACCCAGGAAGGTCTCACCATCCCCCACCATGATCAGGTAGGTGGAACTTACAGCCTACAAGTCACAATCATTTCCAGACTGTAGGAGATCTTTCTTGTGGTTTCTGGTTCTCTTCTATCCTTGTGTGGTTTCAGGCTGAAGAACCGATGGACAACCAGGTGGAGGAAGAAGAAGAGACGTACGCGAGGGGTGGTCATCAAGAAGCAGACACTGGACAGGATTCATTTCCATGTTCGGCGTGTGGGAAGTGTTTCACATCCAGATCAGATCTCATTAGGCATCACAGATGTCACGGCGCAGTGCAGCCTTACTTATGTTCTGAGTGCGGGAAATCTTTCAAAGAGAAATGGCACCTCGTGAGGCACCTGAGACGCCACACTGGCGAGAGGCCTTATCTGTGCCTGACGTGCGGTCAGTGCTTTAAGCAGAACGCCCATCTGAAGGCCCACGTTCGGGTTCACACCGGAGAGACCTTCCCGTGTTCGGAGTGCGGGAAAAGCTTTTCGCGGAAAGAGTCTCTGGCGAGGCACCAGCAGACCCACATGGGGAGCCTGCCGTATATGTGCCTGGAGTGCGGGAAGTATTTCACGCAGAAACCATCGCTCGTCATGCACCAGCGAACCCACACGGGCGAGCGCCCCTATTCCTGCCCGGAGTGCGGAAAAAGCTTCACCCGCAAGTACTCGCTCTCCCTACACCAGAGACTCCACGCAGACGAGGGCTCCTTGTCGTGTTCGGAGTGTGGGAAATCCTTCGAAACCAAATCCGACTTCAACATACATAAAAGGATTCATAGCGGGGAGGCCGTCTTTTCCTGCTCGGAGTGCGAGAAATCGTTCGTCAGGAATTCACAGCTGGCGATACACCAGAGGGTTCACACCGGCGAGAAGCCCTTCTCCTGCCCCGAGTGCGAGAAAAGCTTCATGAGGAAGTCGGATCTCGTCGTTCACCGGAGGATTCACACCGGCGAGAAGCCCTTCTCGTGCTCCGAGTGCGGGAAATGTTTCTCGGGTAGGGGGCGCCTCAAGAGCCACATAAAAAGGCACACCGGCGAGAAGCCGTTCTCCTGCTCGGAGTGCGGGAAGCGTTTCGTACGGAAAGACGAGCTTCAGATACATCAGAGGATTCACACGGGAAACCAGCCTTTTTCATGTTCCGAGTGCGGGAAACGTTTCACAAAGAGAGGGAATCTCAGTCAACATCAGAGAACTCACGCCCGCTGATGCCGGCGGTGAACTGAGGATTGTATCCTGTCCTGTGTGTGATACAGACCAGGAGGATTTTACGGCAGTGTGAATGAGGATAATTAAAGTGATTCCACTGGTGATCCTGCCAGTAACACACTTCCTGTCCTAGGGTGACAACTCTCACTCATCATACTTTATGGAAGTACATTAGGATGACAGTACACCACCTCCTCCTCTACATAACCTAGGGGGAGGTACTCTGTAGTTCACAAGAAGACCATTGTTGGGGTTTGCAGTCACCACCACGGGGTGCTGACCTACACCGAGGGAACACAGACCAGGCACCACCAGGGGGTGCTCACCTACACCGAGAGGAACACAGACCAGGCACCACCAGGGGGTGCTCACCTACACCGAGGGAACACAGACCAGACACCACCAGGGGGTGCTCACCTACACCGAGGGGAACACCGACCAGGCACCACCAGGGGGTGCTCACCTACACCGAGGGAACACAGACCAGACACCACCAGGGGGTGCTCACCTACACCGAGAGGAACACCGACCAGACACCACCAGGGGGTGCTCACCTACACCGAGAGGAACACCGACCGGACACCACCAGGGGGTGCTCACCTACACCGAGAGGAACACAGACCAGACACCACCAGAGGGTGCTCACCTACACCGAGAGGAACACAGACCAGACACCACCAGGGGGTGCTCACCTACACCGAGAGGAACACCGACCAGACACCACCAGGGGGTGCTCACCTACACCGAGAGGAACACCGACCAGACACCACCAGGGGGTGCTCACCTACACCGAGAGGAACACCGACCAGACACCACCAGGGGGTGCTCACCTACACCGAGAGGAACACCGACCAGACACCACCAGGGGGTGCTCACCTACACCGAGAGGAACACCGACCAGACACCACCAGGGGGTGCTCACCTACACCGAGAGGAACACCGACCAGACACCACCAGGGGGTGCTCACCTACACCGAGAGGAACACCGACCAGACACCACCAGGGGGTGCTCACCTACACCGAGAGGAACACCGACCAGACACCACCAGGGGGTGCTCACCTACACCGAGAGGAACACCGACCAGACACCACCAGGGGGTGCTCACCTACACCGAGAGGAACACCGACCAGACACCACCAGGGGGTGCTCACCTACACCGAGAGGAACACCGACCAGACACCACCAGGGGGTGCTCACCTACACCGAGAGGAACACCGACCAGACACCACCAGGGGGTGCTCACCTACACCGAGAGGAACACCGACCAGACACCACCAGGGGGTGCTCACCTACACCGAGAGGAACACCGACCAGACACCACCAGGGGGTGCTCACCTACACCGAGAGGAACACCGACCAGACACCACCAGGGGGTGCTCACCTACACCGAGAGGAACACCGACCAGACACCACCAGGGGGTGCTCACCTACACCGAGAGGAACACCGACTAGACACCACCAGGGGGTGCTCACCTACACCGAGAGGAACACCGACCAGACACCACCAGGGGGTGCTCACCTACACCGAGAGGAACACCGACCAGACACCACCAGGGGGTGCTCACCTACACCGAGAGGAACACCGACCAGACACCACCAGGGGGTGCTCACCTACACCGAGAGGAACACCGACCAGACACCACCAGGGGGTGCTCACCTACACCGAGAGGAACACCGACCAGACACCACCAGGGGGTGCTCACCTACACCGAGAGGAACACCGACCAGACACCACCAGGGGGTGCTCACCTACACCGAGAGGAACACAGACCAGACACCACCAGGGGGTGCTCACCTACACCGAGAGGAACACCGACCAGACACCACCAGGGGGTGCTCACCTACACCGAGAGGAACACCGACCAGACACCACCAGGGGGTGCTCACCTACACCGAGAGGAACACCGACCAGACACCACCAGGGGGTGCTCACCTACACCGAGAGGAACACCGACCAGACACCACCAGGGGGTGCTCACCTACACCGAGAGGAACACCGACCAGACACCACCAGGGGGTGCTCACCTACACCGAGAGGAACACCGACCAGACACCACCAGGGGGTGCTCACCTACACCGAGAGGAACACCGACCAGACACCACCAGGGGGTGCTCACCTACACCGAGAGGAACACCGACCAGACACCACCAGGGGGTGCTCACCTACACCGAGAGGAACACCGACCAGACACCACCAGGGGGTGCTCACCTACACCGAGAGGAACACCGACCAGACACCACCAGGGGGTGCTCACCTACACCGAGAGGAACACCGACCAGACACCACCAGGGGGTGCTCACCTACACCGAGAGGAACACAGACCAGACACCACCAGGGGGTGCTCACCTACACCGAGAGGAACACCGACCAGACACCACCAGGGGGTGCTCACCTACACCGAGAGGAACACCGACCAGACACCACCAGGGGGTGCTCACCTACACCGAGAGGAACACCGACCAGACACCACCAGGGGGTGCTCACCTACACCGAGAGGAACACCGACCAGACACCACCAGGGGGTGCTCACCTACACCGAGAGGAACACCGACCAGACACCACCAGGGGGTGCTCACCTACACCGAGAGGAACACCGACCAGACACCACCAGGGGGTGCTCACCTACACCGAGAGGAACACCGACCAGACACCACCAGGGGGTGCTCACCTACACCGAGAGGAACACCGACCAGACACCACCAGGGGGTGCTCACCTACACCGAGAGGAACACCGACCAGACACCACCAGGGGGTGCTCACCTACACCGAGAGGAACACCGACCAGACACCACCAGGGGGTGCTCACCTACACCGAGAGGAACACCGACCAGACACCACCAGGGGGTGCTCACCTACACCGAGAGGAACACCGACCAGACACCACCAGGGGGTGCTCACCTACACCGAGAGGAACACCGACCAGACACCACCAGGGGGTGCTCACCTACACCGAGAGGAACACAGACCAGACACCACCAGGGGGTGCTCACCTACACCGAGAGGAACACAGACCAGACACCACCAGGGGGTGCTCACCTACACCGAGAGGAACACCGACCAGACACCACCAGGGGGTGCTCACCTACACCGAGAGGAACACAGACCAGACACCACCAGGGGGTGCTCACCTACACCGAGAGGAACACAGACCAGACACCACCAGGGGGTGCTCACCTACACCGAGAGGAACACCGACCAGACACCACCAGGGGGTGCTCACCTACACCGAGAGGAACACAGACCAGACACCACCAGGGGGTGCTCACCTACACCGAGAGGAACACAGACCAGACACCACCAGGGGGTGCTCACCTACACCGAGAGGAACACCGACCAGACACCACCAGGGGGTGCTCACCTACACCGAGAGGAACACAGACCAGACACCACCAGGGGGTGCTCACCTACACCGAGAGGAACACAGACCAGACACCACCAGGGGGTGCTCACCTACACCGAGGGGAACACCGACCAGACACCAGCAGGGGGTGCTCACATACACCGAGGGGAACACCGACCAGACACCACCAGGGGGTGCTCACCTACACCGAGAGGAACACAGACCAGACACCACCAGGGGGTGCTCACGTACACCAAGAGGAACACCGACCAGACACCACCACGGGGTGCTGACCTACACCGAGGGGAACACAGACCAGACATCACCAGGGGGTGCTCACCTTACACCGAGGGGAACACAGACCAGACACCACCAGGGGGTGCTCACCTTACACCGAGGGGAACACAGACCAGACACCACCAGGGGGTGCTCACATACACCGAGGGGAACACAGACCAGACACCACCAGGGGGTGCTCACCTACACCGAGAGGAACACAGACCAGACACCACCAGGGGGTGCTCACCTACACCGAGGGAACACCGACCAGACACCACCAGGGGGTGCTCACCTACACCGAGGGAACAACGACCAGACACCACCAGGGGGTGCTCACCTACACCGAGAGGAACACCGACCAGACACCACCAGGGGGTGCTCACCTACACCGAGAGGAACACAGACCAGACACCACCAGGGGGTGCTCACGTACACCAAGAGGAACACCGACCAGACACCACCACGGGGTGCTGACCTACACCGAGGGGAACACAGACCAGACATCACCAGGGGGTGCTCACCTTACACCGAGGGGAACACAGACCAGACACCACCAGGGGGTGCTCACATACACCGAGGGGAACACAGACCAGACACCACCAGGGGGTGCTCACCTACACCGAGAGGAACACAGACCAGACACCACCAGGGGGTGCTCACCTACACCGAGGGAACACCGACCAGACACCACCAGGGGGTGCTCACCTACACCGAGGGAACAACGACCAGACACCACCAGGGGGTGCTCACCTACACCGAGAGGAACACCGACCAGACACCACCAGGGGGTGCTCACCTACACCGAGAGGAACACCGACCAGACACCACCAGGGGGTGCTCACCTTACACCAACCACCCATCCCTCAGCCGGCTGCCTCTCCCGGTACATGACTGCAGACCTACCCTGTACATTGCCATTGACTGTGCACACCCGATATCAGGGCCTGTAATGGGGTCCCCCACAAGGCCATCAGCTTGTTTTTATCCAGAGGCGCTCTACGATGTGGTGAAACGCTACAAATAGGTTATCAGCTTCCTCAGCTACACGCAGCAAACACAAAAAATTATCCACAAAAACATTCCACAAACAACTGGAAGCACAACGGAAAATGGTGGGCTGTGCGGGAAAGGGTTTGGTACCCATGGCAGCTCCTTATTGCTGTGTGTGGTGATTTCTGCTCCCCTCACTGACCTGAGATGTTCGGAAACGTTTTGGTGATGGTTTAGCCGTAATAAAATTTGGTAGTCCTCACTATGTCTTCAGAAACGTGGTTTTCTTGCCTCATCCTGAGTCTCTGGGCCCGCCCCATTGCCGAACTCACCTCCTTGTGGCACCGAGCAGACGGAATGGGCCGAGTATTATTCACCCAATTACCAAA